AACAAAGCTTAAACGCTAACCAAACACAAGTGAAAACCACATTGCAATCCCTGTATCATTTTACCATCTATAGCCTTAGGGCTTGTTTAAAGAGTTAACAAAGAAGTAAGGATTGAAACCTAAGCTAAGTTAGGAAGGTATAATCCAACACTTGGCAAAAGATTAAGGCTTAAAATATAAATAACCTCCATATTGGAGTTTACGGCCAAGAACTCAAGAAGAAAGGAGTTCACGGCCTAATGTGATTAAAGGGAAAAGTAATTCACGGTTTGGAGATTCAAACCAAATGAGTGTTCATGTTTTGGGATTCTAATTCACAAAGATGTTCACGGTCCAAAGATCCAAAGATCTTTTAGTTCACGGCCTTAAAGTCTAAAGTAAAGGAGTTCACGGTTGGAAGTAAAAGGATAAAAGGTGTTCACGGTTTTGGAGTTTAAGGATCAATGATGTTCACGGCCTAGGAATAAATTAGCATAGATTTCACGGCCAAGGTATGACCGTGAACACAAACCAAAGCTCATTTATTTGAGCGTAAACCCCTTAAATATCTCATATCTTATCCTAATTCAGCATATCAATGTGATAGGATTCAATTACCAATACAACCACCTCATGAATTCCTTCATACTTAAGTTACTTCATATATAAGCCTCATATAAGATCAATTCTTTCATTCTACACATCCAGTTAACGAAAACACTCACCTTTCTCTCTCAAACATCAACCATATTCATTTCATCCTTAAAACATCTCCTGGAGTTTTTCTTCAAGTCATTTCCATTTGTAAATCATAGTAAGTATTTATAGTCTAATGATTAGCTCATATTATTCACATACTATTGTGTGTTTAAAATCATTAGGATCACAACATCTCTCCCGTATTTTAATCTGAAGGTCACCGCTTTCGTCTCGATATCTAGTCAAAACTGCACACAAGGTAAGTTCATACCCCCATATTTTTCCAAGATTTTTCAATGTTTTAGGGGGGAATACAAGTAAAACACAAGAAATTTTGTGTTTAAACAATATAATTTACTTATTGTGTTTTCTTACCGTTAATAGGTATTTATACGTGAAAATTGTTAAAACGTGGAAATAAACTTATAAACTATAATAGGTATAGTTTATGGATCATATGAACTATTTTTTTTTACAAACTTATAAACTATAATAGGTATAGTTTATGGAACAAAGGGATCTTTTTACAAAATTACATGTTACTTACAAAAAGGTTTTTCACTTTATGTAAACTAGTTAATACAGGATTGTGAACCGCTTGATGTACCAAATATTGTACCCGTTAAAAACCTAATTATAACCAGAGTCTTCTGGAGGGAGATCGTGAGTTTGTGTATAGATCTATACGAGACTGACAATCCCATGTCCTGACTGTTAGCTACAGTTGGAACGAAAGTTCAGGGGTGACAAATGTCATTAGCTTTACGAGGCCTGAAGAACATCGTGTAGACAATTAGTCATATTAGTATGGTTATAATGAATATTCACAATAAGTATTAACTAATTATTTATGTAAAGATATACTTTTACACAGTCTTAAAGGGAAATAACTCTGTGATTACTTAGTGCTTACATCGAGGTTATATAAAATTAATGTCCGGTAGACTGTGGGCTGTGTGACTTTCGCCTTACTTTATGTTCCTTGTTTGGTTGTGGACTTAGGGAAGATTCACCCAGTCGATTGTCTATTCGATCTCGATTTTATATAACTCGTATGTACTAAGTAATCATAGGAGGGTATTAACTCCATATCTAGTTAACAGTGCAAACACGTCTTAAGTTAGTTTTATTTATGAATAAAACTACGTATCATTAAATTAAGTATGGCAATAATACTTGTACTTTTCGGTCTTGGAAGGTTTAAAACTACAATTCGATTTTATGGAAAATATAGGATTTTTCAGGATAAACATCATTATTTTATAAAAGGTTCAACCCTTATTTACAAACTAGTATAACACAAAGGACCTTTAATTGTTAATTCTATGATTTCTTTAGCTTATACATCAGGGTTATATATAAATAACATCTGATAGGCAGTGGAATGTGTGACTTCTGCATTACTTCCTGTTCCTTGTTTGGTTGTGGGCTTAGGGCAGATTCATACATTCAACTGTATGTTAATGGACTCTTAATAAGATATGGCCAAAAAGAAAGTTGGAACTCTTATTTAAAATGGTTTTCATATATTCACCAGATGGGAAATGAATTGAGAAAAAAAAACAACAAATTTTAGTAACCAAAATAGATCTTGCCAAATATTAAAATTACCTATAAAATGATGTTTGTTTCAGAATGCAAAAGTTGCTCAAACTGCAAGCGAAAAAACTCTTACTATAAAGTACGGAAGACATTAGAGAAACAAATGACAACAAACTCATCACCTATATGCTAAAACAGATAACAAATAAAATATATTTCTCATATTAGCAGTGAAAGAGAGGTACATTGTTATTTCAAGAAGCTTTAGTGTACCATGTACAATATGGTCAAATATAATATTTTCAATTTAATTAAAATATGTCTTTTATGAACCATCAAAAATGTGTTTGACCATTTTGCCCCTGTCCCTCTTAAATGATTTCTAGTAAGTAAGATTACAAGTGAGTAATGCCAAAAACATATTACTATTTGTAAATGCTCTATCTTACAGACCATGCAATCATAGTGAGTCCAATACTCACATCCAAAGGTTGTAACTACCTGTCTTCAACAATCACAACATAGTCGATAATCACATAAACAATTGATCCCAAATCAAGCAATCTCATAATTTCGGCTTATAACTCTCAATCTATTAAAAGAAAATTCAGAATAGGAAACATCAACTGATAGGGTGAAATCGGTACAGCAACAAACAAAACTTACCTGGCTATGAATTATGATTGTTCTTGACATTATTCTCTCTCTCTCTCCCTCTTTATATAAGCCTTCAAAATCTTGAGTTTTGTTCCCTTCATGCCTCTCAATAGTTCCTACACACTAATTTGGAAAACATTTTTAAACAAATGATGGATTAATTGTATCAAATACTGATAATAAAGCATAAAAAAACTCAACATTTCTTGTCAGATTCTATTAATTTGTTGAATAGCAGCATCCTTTTCATCTGTCAACTTTGTAATAATAGACCTTAAATAAAAGCAAAACCAACCTCAAAGCCATTGCAATTCCCATTACTTGACATTGTATTTGTGGGTGAAGACACTTCATTTGGTTCTTCTTATGGAACTGGTGAATGTCTTTGGGGAGGAGCAAGTTAAATAACTCTCAATTTGCACGCATCAACAACATGCCCTGCCTCCTTACTGAACTGTAAACACAAGACCACCATAGCTAAAAATTATTCCATATTTTTCATTCATCTTCTTACCATTTCAGGGGTAACATCTTTTTGTGGTTGCTCTTGGACCTGCAACTACACTCTGAATAAGAAACTTATCTTACATTGCAATTTCCAAGTCAACAGGGGCTTTCGTCTCGGCTTGCATTATTATTTTAGTTGAAACATAAACCAAACAAAAAAACGATAAATACTTAAAATTATACTAAACTTAAAAAACGAAATATAGAGTAAATCTACCGGTAACGTCACATGTTTGCTCGAGGCAACACAACTCCAATATCCAGACGATTGCAATACTTCTTCGACTTCGTCTTCTTCACCTAAATGTTTTGCATCAAATGTTTATAAACCTTAACTTTTTTCAAGATTGAAGTTATCAATCAAGAACCAAATAATCCTTTCTTCAGTTCATTCTCAAAGTCAGAAAAAAAAAATGAAATGACAAAGAAGAAGGGAGTCAGGGATTTTGAAATCAAATCCAGAACGATTCAAGGTACTGAGATTTGGGGCGAAGATTTTGAAGGATTAACATGGAAAGTAACCAATTTATGCATAAGATTTGAAATTCAAATTCCAAAAATCAAATCTTCAACCGTGTAATATGTGTGAGGGGTATATTTGGTACTTCACTTTGGCTTAGAAAGGCTTAGGAGATGCCACATGGCAAAAAATGTACTGTTTTATTATAATAGAGGATATATAGACACACACACATACACACACACGATTACAACATCGATGGATCGGAAAAATATACAAATGAATAAAATACAACATGGGACTATGGTATATAAACATATGTGAGGTAATAAAATTATAATAGATCAAATAAAAGTTATCATGATGTCCACGTCCATATTATTCATTCGCAACAATTAGTGGCGGATCTAGAAAGAAAAATCTTAGGTTGTATAATTTTTTTAGGGGGTTGCACTACCGCTAAAAAATTCGTTTCCGAATGAAGTTTCCGTCACAAATCCGTCAATAAACTGACGAATTTACAATTATCAGATTTTGTGAGGGGTTGCCGACGGATTAGTGACGGATTTCTGACGGATTTCCAACAGATTTGTGACGGATATTTAAAAAAAATCACTAAATTTACATTTAATGGAAAATTTTGATATAGTATGGGGTACCTCGGGCTACATAGTAGCTCCGCCCATGGCAACAGTTAAATCACTCTTGGAATATATAAAGTATCATTTAGAAGGATTTAGATGTATAATTAAGAGAAATCACATTACTCAAAACTCGAAGAATGTCATGTGAAAATTGATGTTACAAATAACGAACTTAACAAGAATATTAAAACTTTAGGTCCACTAATGAAACTTTATCAATAGTTCAGAAACCAAACTGTAATTGAAAAAATGAACGAGTCCTACGTGAAAAAAAAAGTTTGCGTACTCATAACAGACCAATCCCGTTTCTCGACAATACACAACCATCTCCGGTACAGATCCACCGTCAATCACCTCCACCGTTTCTCTCTCTCTCTCTCTCTCTCTCTCTCTCTCTCTCTCTCTCTCTCGTGCTGCCGCCTGCCGGAGCCATATTGTGTGTTTGCGTTTGTATAATTTCATCACAATAATCAGGCCGGAGAAGTAAAGGAAGAATCGAAAAGGAAATAAAAATGTCGATACCGGAAGGAGCATTGTCGTCGGACGCCGGCGACCTGGATTTTGGTCAGGAGGTAACGCTTGGTGACAAGCTTAAAGCCTTCAAATCATCTGGTTTCGATCAGGAAAGTTATGTATCTGCCAAATGCCGCACAACCAGCGAAAAGGTAAAATCTTGTAGTTTTTTCGTGCATTTTATGATTATTATATGCAAAATTCATTTGACGAATTCGCTTTCAAATTAACATGCTTGGTTTGAAATATGTAAAATCTTTTGGAAAAAAATTGATCTACAATAGCTTAAAGTGTGTGTTATTGTTAATTTCATGCACCAATGAGCCATGTCAATGTAGGAAACCATCTATTTTGTTCAAATCTTTCACTTATTATCTTCATGAATTTGCAAATTTTATTATTAATGAATTCGTATATTTCTAAGGTTTGATGTTAATGATAGACTTCTATAACAAATATTTATGACTCATTTTCTTTTTTATCTATTTTCTTCATGAAATGATCAAGAAACTAAGAAATTTATATCCATCTAGTATAGACTAAAATTCACAACCAAGATTATTGGCATCTAGTGAACCATTTTGAGTTAATATCTTATCAGACAAGCAAAATGATTGATTAACAAGAACAATAAGAATTTTGCTCACCTGAATGTTGAACAATACATAAACGAATTTTTGTAGCACTTGCAACCAAAGCCTTGGACTCTTTTTATAGGCATGGAATCTACTCAACCTTTCTCTTTTCATCATCACGGACTCCATTTATTGAATTTTATAAGTAGAAAGATCGATTAACAACAAACGATGCGTCTAAGGCTATGTTTAGCGTACTAATTGAAAAGCTAGCTGTTAGCTGAAAAGCTAGCTGTTGAATAAAAAGCTAACTAATAGCTGAAAAGCTAGCTGATAAAAAATGGCGTTTGGTAAACTAGCTTAAAAGCTAGCTGAAAAATATAAAATGACATAAAAGGGTATTTAAAAGAATATGTTCTATAATTAATTAAAGGGTATATTTGAAAAAATTTTAAAAAAACTCCTAAAAAGCTACTCTAATTAGTTTTTTAAAAAGGTAGTTTATAAGCTACTTTTTGGCTTGCCAAACATGACAACTTAAAAAAACTCGAAAAATAAATTAGCTTATCAAGCTGGTTGTGGCGCGCCAAACACAGCCTAAGTATTTATCTCCAAACTGGTGGAATTGTTTGATTGGCAGGAAATAAAGCACTTGGTGACTTGTCTTCTAGATCTAAAGAAGGCCTCAGCAGAAGAAATGAGGAAAAGTGTGTACGCTAATTATCCTTCCTTTATTCGGTAAGGAAACAGATCAATCCAAACAACTATTTTGAGTTCTAATTATGGCACTAAACTCAAAAACATATTTTCACACATACAGAGTATCAAGAGAAATTTCAGATCTTGAAGGGCAACTAGTAGCATTAAGGAATCTTCTATCTAATCGTGCAGCCATCATCCATACTCTAGCCGAAGGTACACGAACTGACTCCATGTCATCGGGTCCCGGTTCAAGAAAAAAGGGTAGTTTTGACTTTGAACATAGAGAACCCACAAAAATGGAACTTTGGTTATCACAATACATAGACAACCTAAACATTTTACTAGCAGAAAGACGAGTAGACGAAGCTTTAGCTGCCCTTGATGAAGGTGAACGTGTAGCAAAAGAAGAAAAATCAAACGACTCAATGACACCCATCATGCTCGCTTCATTACAAGCTACTATAACCGAACAAAGACAAAAACTAGCTGATCGACTCGCTGAGTCAGCGTGTCAACCTTCTTCTAGTGGAAAGGAACTCCGATCATCCGTTGAAATAATCAAAAAAATCGGCGATGGCCCACGTGCACATACGCTTCTTCTCAACTCACACCACCAAAAGCTACAATCCAAAATTCAAGGTCTTCAAACCTCGGGTTCAACTTATGGAGTGGCTTACACTGCTGCCCTTTCACAACTTGTGTTTTCAATCATAGCTCAAGCATCAAGCGATTCGTTGGCTATATTTGGTGATCAACCGTTGTACACGTCTGAATTAGTGACATGGTCTGTGAAGCAAACGAATACTTTCGCGAATTTAATGAAGAGACATGTGATTGCTTCACCTTCGGCTTCAGGGGGACTAAGGACAGTGGCTGAATGCGTTCAGATTTCAATGGGACATTGTTATTTGTTGGAAGCTCGAGGGTTGGCATTGGCGCCTGTTCTTTTGAGACATTTTAGACCGTGTGTTGACAAAGCTTTGAATGCTAACTTGAAAAGAATTGAGACGAGTACTGCTGCCATAGCGGCTGCAGATGATTGGTTGCTAAGTTATCCGCCTATTGGCACGTGCTCTTTGGGTACTCCGCCTACTCTTGGCAGTTCGATTGTGTCTCAGCCGAAGCTTTCAAGTAGCGCGCATCGGTTTAATCTTATGGTTCAGGTTGTTTTTTTTTCTCAAAGATTCCCAACAACTTATTAAAGGAAAACTGAACGTCAACACAAGTATATACATGAAAAACTGCAAACCAAATATATGATAAATTGTTACAATCACATAAACAAATCATTCAAGCCTAGAGCTAGTAAAAAATCGACACAAAATTAGTGGGCTGGCTGTGTTGAGATTTTCAACCAGTTTAATTAAATAAGTCGAGTTTGGGTTGAAATTTCTGGCCTGTTAAAGATATGATTCTTTTCATTTATATTTTATTTCATCTAATAATTTAAAATGATACAAAAACAAAACCTCAAGTCTTGAAATTTTAGAATGTTATTTGAACAATTAAGTTGTAGTTGTACCTCTTTTTAAAATTTGAACAATTTTTTGGTGTTTTAACTAATTTAATAAAGTTTAAACTTTTTTATTTTTATTTTATGTGAACTTTAAATGGGTTAACTCGACTTCTAACATGTTGGGTTGGAAACGAAATAAATGGGTCCACCAAATTATCTAGTTTGTCTGGGTTGGAAATTTCAATCCACGGGTCAACCCAACTCGACCCATGCGAGCTCTATTCATAAAAACACCAATTACTTTACACCCAAACTCTCAAAAAATTTACTCACATTCTTTGATTACTTTTATTTCAGCCAAATCTCAACAATTTTACTTTACTTACTACTTGTAAATCCTATTATTTGCATTGATTACCAGGAAATGTGCGAGGATATTGGACTCCTGAGATCATCAACATTCTCCAATCAAGCAAAAGAAGGTTTACATCAAGTATTTAGTTCATACATCACCATGCTAGTAAATGCATTGCCTGGTTCATCAGAGACTGAGAATTTGGAGGGTAGAATTGTGAATACAGCAGAGAATGATACCCAACAGATAGCCTTGCTAGCTAATGCACTATTCTTAGCAGAAGAGTTACTCCCACGAGCAGCATTGAAGCTAATGCCTTTACAACAATGTCTTCCCACTGATACTCCTAGGAGGAATTCAGACAAACAATTAAGAACTCCAGAAACAAGAGAATTGAAGAAACGACTTCAGAGATACGTTGATCAGTTGAGAGATAGCTTTTGTAGAAAACATGCCCTTGATCTTATTTTTTCAGAAGACGGAGGTGCTCGTCTTAATGCACCTATGTATTTTAGTATGGATGAGAATTCAGAAGAGCCAGAATGGTTCCCATCTCCGATATTTCAAGTAAACAAATATGAATTTATTACTTTTAATATAATCATCAATTCTTTTTCTCTGTTGTCACCACCTTGGTAAACATGTCTGCTCGATTCTTGGCATGGCCCACATGGTCCGTGCCAGACAAAATAGTGTCACCTTGTGTGTAACAAATTTTATAACATTTTATAGAATGAGCGTTGCAACATTTACCATATAGTACTGATGTGTGACCATATAGGATCATATGACGTTAGCAGTAATACAGTGTCCTGATTGTTTTTCGCAGGAACTGTTTGCTAAATTATATAGTTTCGCACGCTTAGCATCGGACATGTTTGTGGGAAGAGAAAGATTTTCCACTCTACTTTTAATCAGACTAACAGAAACAGTAATTCTATGGCTTTCCGATGAACAAAGTTTTTGGGAAGAAATCGAACATGGCCCAAAGCCTTTAGGCCCTTTTGGACTTCGACAGTTTTATCTAGACTTGCAGTTTGTTATCCATTTTGCCTCAGAAGGCCGATACTTATCAAGAAACTTGCATCAAGTTATCAAGAATATAATTTCAAGAGCTTTAGGATCAATTGTTGCTGCTGGTGGAGATCCCGACAGGTTTCTTTTTTTTTTTTTTTTCTTTTTTTTTTCTTTTCCATATTTTTGAGGATTAAAAGATTTGTTTTTTGGATTTGAGCAGTATGGTTCCGGAGGATGAATGGTTTACTAATCATGCTCAAACTGCGATTAAAAAGTTGACTGGAAATGCAACGCCAGAAAATAAAGATGTTACTAGTCCCACAGTTGACACGTCAGAAGGAGCTCTGCCTTCAATTGAAGAGTAACAGTATCCTCACAAACAAATGGTATCAAATTACAATTGCATTTTTCTCTTGGATTTGTGTTTAACTGCATCCACAATGCATTCGATTCAACTCTATAAAATTTAATTTCTAGATGCCATAGAACTCTACAAAGTTCAATGGAACATAATTTTAAAAATACATATCGTTTTTTTGTTAATCATTTTCCATTCAACCATGCATTGTGGATCGGTTTGAAATTTGAAAACTGAAAATATAATGATTTGGGAAGTCAAATAGTTATTGATTTTGTTTATTACTTTTCTTGTGTGACTTGTTGTGGCAGATGGTTTAATGGGGCTAAAACTGGATATGCTTAAAGCAAGGAAAGGTTGTCCTTTTGCCAGTCAACTCCAAACAGGTGATGAAGAATTACATTTATGATAGATTAACTTCTACATCCATTGTTCTTGATTTTCTTTTTTCTTTTTTTGTTTTTTTTTAATGGTTCTTGCAAAAATAGTAAAGGAATAGATTTATACTTTGTAAGAATGAGTTTTGACAAACTATAGAAATATAAATGCAAAAATATCTAATTTTACAATGGTATTATTTTAATCATTTTCTTCCAATGTTCAGAAAAGTTCAACAAAATTCCATAGTATTAACATAAACTTTAAAATATAATGAGTAAACATGTATATAAGAAACTTTGGTGACCAAATCAAACAAGTTTATAAAATTTTGTTGCTATTTAACCCTGGTCATCTGTATAATCCCAAGTTAAAAAATGAAATTGGATTGCATTCTGTTTGGTGGATTTCAAGACAAAAATAAATAAATAAATAAATGAATTTTGAATTCCAATTCCCACGTGTATATTCTCTGTAATGTTCATATACAGTTGTGATTATTGCATCATGATGAGACCTGATCTAACCTCAGAATGTGATACTTCATGTAATCAATACAATTTAACCTCACACAACACAACAATTCCTCTGGTAACTCCTCTGCTTTATTACCCTACATTAAAACAAAATTTATGCTTAAGTAAAACATTATGCTATTAAAAAATATATATATATTTTTTTTTAATAAAAGATTAATTTGCCTGAATTGTGATGCCAAAATCCAGGATGCAATCCTTGAGTCGATCCTGAAATGCACCAAACCCTTTCCTAGAGATGTAACTAAATCTATGCATATCCAAATCGATCTCCAAATAATTTTCTCCCTGTAAATTATTCGACACCAATAAAGTTATAAAAAATTGAGTTGTAAAAAATAGAAAAAAAAAATTACTTGATAGAAGTCATGTTGAGGACGTGAAAGAACAGGTTTTCCATTGTAAGCGTGCATAAGCTTCCTTTGTGGTGCACTCAACTGAAGATCATCTATATTTACAACACGTCCCAATATTTTTATCCTTTCTCTACATGCTACAACTGTATCTACACGAAAACCTTTCACTTCTTCTACTTCATCATCAAGTATCCTCTGTAATTAATGTTATACAACAAAATAAAATAAGTTTGACATAACATAATGATGAATACAAAATGCATATCAAAGGATTATTTAGTATTTACTCTCATGTTATCTTGAAATTGGGAAGACAATTCCTTTGAGTAACAATCAGAAAGTTTAAAATACAACACAAAACTTATTCCTTCTCCATCAATTTCACCTCCAAAAAGAGCAGCAGGATACAATGGAATCTGCAAATCCACACGGAATCATAAAAACAACATGATTAATATATATTTTGTCAAAAATCAAAATATTTTAATTATGAATGATATATCCATCAAAATACCTGTACATTTACAACAAGAATAGATGGAACATCTATAGAAGAAGCAACATCAGGGAGTTTTACAAACTGAGCAATGTGATCAATTTTCCTCTGAGATAAAAACACATCAACTCCAAATGGGTAATAAGCAGCGTAATTAGAAGCAAGTTCCTTCTTTCTATCCCTGTAAAATGATATAACATAACAATAAACTGATCAAGTGTCTTTTCAGAATTGACCACATGTTTGAATATATATAAACTTATAAGGTTACCTGAGATAATCCTTGCCACGTACTCTAAAAGTTTGGGGTTCAATAATTGACCAAGAATCAATCATATTCTTGTCTATTGGGCAGAAGGGTACTTGTGAACCAGCTATAGGTCGTTGTATTATATGATGCATCTTTGAAGGAACTGGATTCAGATAAAGAACTATGTTAAATTTCAGTGTTTGAACTATGAAAGCTTATCAAATGAGGCTCAAAGGAAGTAACATAAACGAGTTAAAATCAAGTGTAATGGTAAAAGAACTCACTGATTGTGGGATTAGTATGTTCATCATTTCGTTTGAAGGATAACTTAAATGCAGCTTTTTTCCTTGAGCTTGATGGGATACCATTCTCTCTTCCAGTATTTTCATCTATATTTGATTGAAATATCATCTGTTCAGGATGAACTGAACTTCTATGAGCCTCACTATCTCTCAGAGAACCAATATGTGGCAAGGAGACAGCTTCTGAGCCATCTGGAAACAGAGCATTTATGAACATATGGATTCAGGATTCATGAGATGAAGAAAAGTAAGTAAATGTATGTCTGTTATAAAATTTCTGCTAAAAATCACCATCGGAAAAACTCTGGAAATCTTCATCACTGCAATCGGATTCAAGAATTGAAGCAGAATCACACCAGAGATCATCAGTGCTCCCTGCAAAAAGTACAAGGTACGTAAGAGAAAATTTCATTAATTTTAATGGATGTTCTAAAAATTCGTAACGAACTACTTGAAATTGCAATGAAAAAAGCAACAACAGACTTCACGAAGTAATTCGGAATGAATCAATATCAAAAAAACTGACTGAAATTTTCAGTTTGGAAGCAGTAGATTCGTTCAAACTTATAGCTTCGAAAAAATAATATTCGATATGAAAAATTGCATCCCGTTGATAAATTTGGCCTCCTTTTCTTGGATCTGAGAATTCCGTCAAAAAAAAAAACTGTTGGAGAACCATGCGAAATACAACAAGTTAACTCATAGATTAATTAAATACGTAATCATGTTCCCCAGCTTATTCCTTGAAGATCATGTACGAGTAATTACTGGTGTAGTTTAATTCAATAGTTTGATTCATAAACAATCCTCAAAACTTCCAATTAGCTTAGTTCAATTACGACGCATTAGGAACTCTATAGAACACAACACATAAAATTTAATGTAGTTTTAGAGAGAAAGAGAAGGAACCGTGGGAATTTGGAGGGTCGCCGGAGGGAGGTGCCTTGGATTGATCATACAAGCGAGACGATACACGGCGTTTCAGAGCTTTCCTCCGCCTTCTCAGCTTCAGCTTCACCTTCACCTTCGACGACTTTATTCCACCTCCGACGCAATTCTCCGGCCTAGACACGCAACCTCCCATCCCCTCTCTTTTCGCTCTCTCGCGGGAAAATATCAAGGTATTTCGTTTAAAGAAAATGGATAATGTTATTTGATCGATATCTTAAATGAGGAAAAAAAAATTAATTGTCCCAAATGTTTTAGAAGAAAACAAGTAAGAAAGCATGTGGATCAACACTAAAGTCACTGATTTAAAAAATCGTTGATGAGTAAAAAATAAATAAGAATAATAACTTGAAACAAAATTTGTGACATTTATCAAGGACAAATCAAAAATAAAATTTAGATGTTGTAGTTTGTTAAGGCAAAAAAGCTACATCCTAAAACTAAACGTGATTCATTTAGACTTCTTTGATGACAATTACACAAAACCAATCAAACTTAACAAATACCAATTAATATAGTTACAATTGATTTTTGGTTTAATGTAACAAACAAGATATAAAATAATTGCACTTTAAAATAACAAACTAGTAATATTTTTCTGGTCAATACATGAGTGCGCATTATAATTTCCAAGAAACTTATATTCTATCAATCAAAACCACATAAATTTTTTTTTTTTTTTTAAAATCCTTATATGCCACGTGGCACATAGTAACGCGTGATCATTGTAGGGTCGTTTAGTGGAATAGTGGTTGTGTAAATTGGGCCGGCCATTGTTTTCAGCCGTAGGAGTATAAAATCGGAACCACCCGATACCAAGTGGGGTCAATACAAGAAGTTGGACAAACCAATTTCTAATTTTTCATGTCATGTAATGTAATGGTGAGATCATGGATTATATTATTTATAAGAATAAGATGACATAAAAATCAACAAAAATATCATGATACACTTGTTAGTAAACGATTTATGGGTTGCATTGAAACTACCAAAACCTCTCATCTTAGTCTTATATATATATATATATATCGTTAATATATAAATAATAAGGGCAAATTTCCAAAAAAATTCTTATATTTCAGTTTTTTCGGTCATTACAGTTGACTTGTTCTTTATGTGATTATATTTGAAGTCCTGAGCTAATTAGTTAAAACTCTAAATTATACACATTATGTGTTACCTTTTTTATACCAAGGATTCCCCTATGGAAAATAATTTAAATCATGAGAAAGTTAGTTACTTGTATTAAAAAAAATGAATATGGTTTTTAGATAATGGATTTTGTTGGAACAAAAACTTATAAACATGTCACATGAGTTGATAATTTCAAAACGAATCTTTACCTAAATTTGACATATTATAATTTGGATGACGTACCTTCAACTCAACTTGTTTACTCTTTTATTAAAATGTAGTCATTCTATATATTGTTACAAAAGTATTTTTCCATAATCAATCCAGTTCTCATTAATAAAATATAATACAAATATACAATAACTACATGATCGTGGGCTGAATATCTATGGGTAAAGTACAACATGGGCCTAATCATAATACATAGTTACATACACACAATACAAGAATAATACGTGAGCTAATATATACATGAATCTACTTTTTTTTGTCAACCTTGTTTGCAAAAAATAAACAAATAAACAAATAAACAAATAAAAAATCAGTGTTATCGTTTTATATGTCACGTGTTTGACCATTAAGCTATTTTTTCCAACCAAATAATAAATAAAGCAAAAGAAAAAGAAGAAAAGGCAACCTTTCAACGAGCCTTGGGTTGCGAAGATTAGTCTCTTGTCATATGTCGCCAAATAATTGGTTGATTTATTTCTCATTTTTGAACAAAATTTATCAATTGGATTTTATTTTTTATAAATACAATGGTGGTCAATATGGCAAAACAACTTGGTGTTTTTACTTCTTACCTACGATTTTATATTGTTTAACTGTACGTGACATAAACTTAGTAGATAAAATATAAAAGAAAGGGACCAAATGTAACAAATTATAAAGTAGGCATTTAACATATATCAATACAACTAAGACAGATAATAAATGTCTTTACATATATACCATATTAATATATCATTCACATAACTAGACATTAAAAAAAGGAATATTACCTTTTATAGAAATCCATTCATCAACAAATTCCTTCTTGTGTAGTTGAGCATTCTGAATCTAGCTGTTGTAATAACATATTAAAATTAGAGTTTTAAGATATGTGACAATCAGTACAATAATCATAAAAAATGCTAAAGTGCAAGAAATATATACTTTGACAATCAGTACAATAATCATAGCAATGTAATCCAAGATGTGAAACAATTTTAACATCTATAATTGGATACATTTTTTCACAAATAAAAACTACAATCCTATATTGTTTTTAATCGTTTTAAAATACAATGATTAATAAGAAAATGAATGAAAGTATGTTGCTATTTCTTGCCTCTGACACAGTTGCTCTAGAATCTATGTGATGAGAATTTGCTACATTTTTTTCTTGGTTTGCCACCATTAAAGGCAAAGCAGCTCTATCCTGCAATGGAATGGACAAATTTTATAAATTGTTGATAAATTTATAATTTTATAAAATTGAATATTAAGTGATTATAATCAATTACCTCTTCATCCATACGTGTCATTGTATCTTGAATTTTCTTAACAGTAACTACTAAAATCCCCACTTCAGAATGCAAAGCCTGAGAAATCATGAAAATAAAAACAAATAAATTTTGAGAAAATTATTGTGTGAAATACTGAGTGGATACCTTGTTTTCTGATATTAATGTCTCTATGATCCCTTCCTTCATTTGTATAGTTTCTTGAAGGTGAGGTTAGTTAAGAGAGACATTAATCAATAATTAGTTTTTGTTTAATGTTAAATAAATAAAATAAAATAAAATAAAATAAAAAAAAGATAAAGATGGATATTTCCTCTATCTTTGGTTGGCATTGAAGAGTAGTTATTTTTATTGTCTCCAGCTGTGTATGGAGCTCTGCAATCACTCTATCCTTTGTATGAAACTCACTTTCTTTAATTTTTAGTTTAGTTTCAAGATCCTTGATTTTTTCTGCAAATATTTAGAATAAAAAAAGACCATGAATAGTAGATGTGAAATGAGCATGAAAATAGTAAATAGATTCAAAGAATAATTATAACATTACCAATGAATAACTTCTCAAATGCACATACTTTGTCAAATTTCATCTTCAACTGAGACACTGAGAATCATATGAGAAACTATCAGTGATTCAGATTCAGAGTATAAATGTATAATTAATTTGATTTGTATTTTGTAAAATTAAAAAACATACCTACTTCCTCTTTCTCATTGACAACATGAGTTGCATTATCCACTACTTGCTTCACAAATGATGCCTCCTTGCGTATTGTGTCAAATGATAATAGTTGAGTATTTATCTTCTCAGAAAGAATGGCAATCTTTCTATCTCTGGATTCAATGGATCTTTTCATTTCACAAGTAGATTCCTGAAAATGTTTGAATCATGGTGATTACTGGTTAATAACAAAGCATTTAACAGTTACAAACCTGGTAAGCTTTAACAAAGCCTTCTTTTTCTTGGAGTATGCTGCTTATAGTTTCCTTCAGTTCTTTATGCTTGTTTTCAAGTAAATAATTCTCATCTTCAAGGAACTGGACCTGTTAGACCACAAACCCTAAATTTAATTTGTTTGCTTCATTTGAGCATAAATGAAGATTCATGAACAAATCAATTATATCATACCTTCCGTTCTAGCTTCTGCTGCAGTTCGTTAGATGATGTTAACTCGGTTTCCAATTCCTTAATCTTTATACTAAATTCTTCATCGCTTTGCTTCTGTTTCTGAATTCGAAATATCAATAACTTAGCATAGGTCTACAAACAATTTCTACAATATTCGATTTTGACATTGGATGCGAACAATTAGGTTAATCATGATAAATGTTCACGAACTACAATCGATTTTCAACAATTACTAGAAGTTGAACAGCATTGGTTTTAAATTAATATTCGATTTATAAGAACCTGGACATAATCGTGAAGTTGATCGGAAGATGCGCGTTCCTTTTCCTGAAAATTTGATATAAGTTCTCCAAGGTTGTTCTGATGATTAATCAATCCAATGACATGAGAGGATGGAGAGTGATTGAGATTTTACTCTGAGTTCACGAACTTCTGTGATTAGGGTTTGGAGCTGGAGCTTGAATTTTGATAGCTTGATCAGCTCCATTTTGCCGCCAAAATTCTCCTGAAATTTTGTCGCGTTTCTGTTTAGGTTCAAACTATAGAGATTGATTAATCATTAAAATACTAGAAGATATGAGTTATTATCATATTTGAGACATTCTTCTATTCTCTCTAATTTTCGTTATACAAGATTCTGAACTATTTTGAGTATTTTTTTTTTTTTTTTCTGAGTTCCCCAAAAAATTTTAAAATTCATCTTGTTCCAACGAAAACCCAATCTACAAACCTAAGATAAGTAGATATTGAAATGCAAGAACATCAAATAACAACCTCAGTAAACAAAATTCAAAATCAGTAAACAACATCTGCAATCAATTATAATCATAAACTTAAAACTCAAAATCAGATATAAGAAACAGACAACATTGAAGCAATCAGAAAACAACATCAGTACAAAATTCAAAATCAGAATTCTCATTTCTCTAACCTTAGCGAAATTCTACATCAAAATTCAATGAAAATTCAGAAATCTATAAGCATGTTCAATGAAAATTTCGACAGTAGCTTACAAATACACACACGAAAGTTCAAAATTGGAACTTAATAAAGTGAGAACCTGATAGAATGAAGATGGAATTTCAAGAATATGTATTCAGTAAACCTAAGCAAAGCATAAATCGAAGTTGAATGTATAGAAATCGAAGCTATGAGATGGAGTAAAAAAATCGTACCTGAGATAAAATCGCCGGCTGCTGTAGCCGGAAGTGGAGTCGCCAGTGTCTAGCGTAGCCGGAGGTTGAGTGGCCTGCTGGAGCTGCAGCCGGTGATGGTGGTGCAACCGGGTGAGACGATCGATTTCTTACAGTTGTGGCTTGTAGCTTCTACGATCAGTAAAAAAGAGATGTAGGACACAATCAAATTTTTTTTTTTTTTACTAAATGGTTTTTTTTACTAAATGGTAGAAAGTAGAATCATCCTATTTAGTAAATACTATTAATTTTTTTTATTAAACAGTAAAATCATCTTATGTGGCTAGGTGTTTCTATACATTTGATAAAGGCGTTTTTAGCAGCTGCTATTTATTGAGGGTAGTGTTGCGTATTTTGGCGCCGGAGAAGAAGGATGCGGCTAGGGTTGGGTCTGGAGAGAAGAAGAAGCATATACTTAGAGGGTATTTGGCTTAGCTTTGTGTGGGGCAAAAGTCCTTTTTGTAAAAAAGACTTTTTGTAAAAGGACTTTTTACAAAAGTTATTTTTTAAAATGTGTTTGGATTAGCTTTTGAAAGGAAAAAAGTCAAAAGTTAAAGTGTTTGGGTTAACTTTTAGGAGAGAGTAGGGAATCATATGCTATGAATGAAGAATTGATTAGGATAGATGTGGGTATATTGGTAATTTAATATTTTTACTGTTGAAAAGTTGGGAAAAGTCACATAATCGTGACTTTCCAAAAAGGCTCCGTTTACTCTATTGGAAAAGTCATTTCCAAAAGTCATTTTCACTTAAACAAACATCTTTTTGACTTTTTCTAAAAGATAAAAGTAAAAGTCATTTTAAAAGTTAAAACAAACACCTTCTTATAGTGGGAAGTAATTTGGCGTTGGAGAACCATCGAGAATCGTCTCACTAATTTGCTTTACTTCCCATTTGCTTCTAGTTGGCAATGAAGAACCCATCCACCACCACTAATGATGAAAAGGTGAAATATCACAAAGGTTGAGTCACTTCATACAAAGGGTTAAAGTGGTATATATCGGTAGTAGTGTGGATGTGACATCTCAATTTTCACGACCAGAAAAGACCGATTTTGCTTATGCTTATTTAAAAATCAGAGTATCCTTTTTGAAAAATAGTATTGCGGAATTTGTTCCCAGAAAACATGATAAAGATGTTATCAAAGCATTTCGGAAAAATGTATTTTATTTATATTAAAAATTGGGATGTCATCGTCAATACAGAAACATAAGCATAACAAAATATTACAAGTCTTACAGTAATTAAACTACTGGCCTAATACTTCTTGAATCTCTCAGCAGAATGTATCTTTCATATAGCCACCTGTGATACAATAAACTGAGTAGGTCAGGTTGGGAAACCTGGTGAGTACATAGGGTTTTCAACTCATAATAATATAATTATTATGTTTAATCATCCAACAATTAACTCAATTTCCCATCCCCATTATCTTATTTATTCTTAAGGATCTTCCCTGACAATCATCTATTCTTCATTTATTTATTCCTAAGGATTGTCCTAAGGAATAGGCACGAAGTCCATCGCTGTCATGGTTTATCCAACAGACACTAAGTCCATAGTTGTCGATGTTATTTATTAGGCATAGCTGCCAATGTTCATTTGTAAGGCACTAAGTTCATAGCTGTCAATGTTCATTTGTAAGGCACTGAGTCCATAGATGTTAGGGTTTTTGGAGTACATCTGGTGAACACGTAGTTCAAAAAACACCTACAGGTTGCGAGCCTACTAGCGTTCCACTGGACTATCTAGAATCGTCTGTGGTTGTCATCTATACTCTACTAGATGACTAGATCAGAGTTAAAGTCAATGCTTCTTGTCACACCCCAAACCAGAACGGCGGAAAAACGTTTGGGGGCGGATGACTTCGTGTGCAGTATCATAACAATTGAATAATAACAATCAAAGCATCACAACCATTGTATTGAATATTTAATAAATTACATTGTACTCAAAAACATCGTTTACATGATATCAAATGTGTATGACAAAAATAAATAACGAGATGTGACGACATGTCATCCACCAAAAACTCTTGTGGTTACTTGTTTACTGATTTCCTGAGAATACAAGTGCTTTTGAAAAGTGTCAACAATAAACTTTGTGAGTTCATAAGTGTTTTGTATGAGAAGGATTTGTAACTGTTTCTGGTAAAATGATAGTGTATACTTCCAGAAAATCCAATATTTTCTTTAAAATAAACTGTAAGTCTTAATCCAAAGACTAAAAATGTAAGTAATGTTGTACTGAAAAGCAGTGTTATAAAGTTTTATCTTTATATAAAACTACTTGAATGTATGTTAACCTCGTTGTAAGTCTTAACCCAAGACTAAAAATGTAGGTGATGCGGTACTGGAAAATAGTTTTAGTAAGACTTATCTTATTGTGAAAACTATTTGAGTGTACTCTAGCCAATAAACCAAAATGTTTTGTTAATACTCTATGTGAGTTATTATAACCATACTAATGCGACTAGTGGCCTGAACGACGTTCTTCAGGCGTCGGAACTGTTACAACATTTGTCACCCCAGACCTGCCGGTCTAACTGTAGCTAACAGTTTAGGTGGGGGTTGTCAATCCCGTATAGATCTATACGTAAGTGTCACGCTCTCCCTACAAGAGACTCTGGTTATAATTCAGGACTTAGGTGTGTACTCTGGTAGGTACAATGAAGTAGTGACTCACAAGTATGTATCAACTGGCTTACGTCTATTGTACTGAAAATTCGTTATCTTGTAAGCAAAATAACTATACCTTTAAATAATTATTTGTTTATTCTTAAATGATAGTGTAGTGTTTGTAACTCCCAAACTATACCAATTATAGTTTATCAATGTTTGTTTGTCAAGAACATTTATATAAACATTTATATAAATACATAGTAAATATCTTGTCTAGTTTCAAAATGTAAAGTTAACATCATATTTTTGGGTTGTAACCCACAAAATAGTGAAATAACTAGAATGAACTCCTTTTTGTTAGAAAAGCTATATTTTAGTAAAAAAGCTTCAAAAACCATGTAGTTTTGCAAATCATAAATTTTCTTATGATTTTATAACATAGATTATGTTTGTTTTGTTAGTTTTGTAATTCAAAACCAATATATCACAAATAATTGTACAAAAGTAGTGATAACCATGTATTATGCAAATAATATCTTATATTTAACATAAATATGAAAACATGTAAGTGTTTGAGGAGATGGTGTGAAGATTTCCAAGCCTAAACACTTGAATGTGGTGGATGGACTTCCTTGGAAAGAATATTATCCTAAGAGTTTTAACACATAATAATATGTGTAAATATGATGAAACTAATATGAAAGTGTATAAATACAGTAGATTAAGAAGGAAATCTTACCAAAATTCTAAGGATGAACTTGGGGAATTTTGAACTTGGAAGCTTGGAGTTGATTTTTCTTGAGAGGGAATGGATTAATCTTTAGAGAGAATGGAATGGGTGGGGTTTGTGGGGTGATCTATCGTAGTTAAGGAAGAAGGGATGATAGGATAGTTGCTTTCAAAGTTTAATTGCAACAAAGTTGTGATGTGGTTTTACATTATACATAGACACACCTTAGGCCTTGCTTGTTCCAAAATTTTCCAGTTGTCACAACATCCCCTGTTAGAGGGAATTTCATCCCGAAAATTGCATCTTGGACGGGTTCTTGCAATTAGAGGAAACGTTGTGGGTACTTCTGTTTCATTTGATATTCTCGTTCCCAAGTGAATTTGGGCCCTCGCTTGGCGTTCCAGCGGACCTTCACTATTAGTATACGACTTTGTTTTGTTCTCTTGATCTCCCTGTCCATTATTTCCATAGGTTCCTCTACGAAGTGTAGACTCTCGTTTACCTCCATTTCGTCGAGTGGGACTACAAGAGTCTCTTCGGACAGACACTTCTTTAGGTTGGACACGTGGAAGGTGGGATGTATGTTACTAAGTTCTTGTGGTAGTCGGAGTTTGTAAGCTACCGGGCCGATTCTAGCAAGGATCTTGAATGGCCCGATATACCTTGGATTTAGCTTTCCACGTCTTCCAAAACATGTCATTCCCTTCCAGGGTGAGACCTTCAACAGAATGCGGTCACCAACCTGGAATTCCAAGGATTTCGTCGCTTATCAACATAGCTCTTTTGCCGGTCCCAGGATGCCTTTGATCATTCACGGATCTGGACGATTTTTTCCGTAGTTTCTCGTATAATCTCTGAGCCGGTGAGAGTGCTATCAGGAACTTGCCTCTTTGCTAGTTGTGTGTCACCCACTTCAGCCCAGTACAAAGGGGATCTGCACTTGCGTCCATAGAGGGCTTCGAATGGCAAGACTTTGATGCTAGTGTGATAGTTGTTATTGTATGAGAACTTGATGAGCGGTAAATGGGTATCCCAAGATTTACCAAAGTCTATCACACAAGCTCTTAACATGTCTTCTAGTGTCTGTATGGTTCTTTCACATTAACCGTCTGTTTGAGGGTGATATGATGTACTCATATCGAGTTTGGTTCCCAAGGACTTTTGGAGTGATTGCCAAAACCGTGAAGTGAATCTACTATCCCGGTCGGAGATAATAGAGATTGGCACACCATGTAGTCGTACAATTTCTTTGATGTACGTCCTTGTGAGCTTCTCCATCTTGTCGGTCTCCTTTATTGGTAGGATGTGTGCGGATTTGGTTAACCTGTCAACGATTACCCATATGGTGTCAAGTCCACCCGCTGTCTTGGGCAACTTGGTTCTGAAGTTCATGGTTATCTGCTCCCACTTCCACTCGGGTATCTCCGGTTGCTGAAGCAAGCCCTACCTTGACCTTGGCATAAGTCAGGCACTTGCCCACATAGGTAGCGATATTTGCCTTCATGTTTGGCCACCAATAAAGTTTCTTTAGGTCCAGATACATCTTGTCTGAACCGGGATGAACGGAGTATTTTGTCTTGTGAGCCTCGTTCATGACTACGTCCCTGTACCCGTCGAATCTCAGTGTCCGAATTCGATCTATGAAGTAATGAGCTCCGTCGCCCTTGACTTCAAACTTTTTATCCATTCCCCACAATGCTTCACCTACGACATTATCGGGTTTCAAGGCTTCTAGCTGCGCCTCCTTGATTTGTGTGGACAAGTGTGAATGGATGGTCATGGTTAATGACTTTACTCGGCGACCCGAGTATTCTTTCCGACTCAAGGTGTCTGCTACTATGTTGGCCTTGCCTGGATGATAACAAATTTCACATTCGTAGTCATTTAGTAGTTCAACCCATCGTCGTTGTCTCATGTTGAGCTCCTTTTGATTGAGAATGTGCTGAAGACTCTTATGATCTGTGAAGATGGTGCACTATGTGCCGTAAAGGTAGTGCCTCCAGATCTTCAGGGCAAACACCACTGCTCCTAATTCAAGGTCGTGCATGGTGTAATTGACCTCATGAGTCTTGAGTTGTCATGAGGCATAGGCGATGACCTTTCCTCGTTGCATAAGCACACATCCTAGGCCCTGCTTGGATGCATACCACAAAGTCTTCGGTCCCTTCTGGAAGAGACAAGATTGGAGTGATGCACAAAGCTTGCTTAAGCGTTTGGAAGGAAGTTTCTTGTTTATTCTCCTAGCTGAAAGTCACTCCCTTCTGTGTCAAGGTAGTGAACGACTTTGCGATCTTTGAGAAGTTCTGTATAAATCTTCGGTAGTATCCAGCAAGGCCTAAAAACTGGCGGATCTCTATCGCTGTTCTTGGTGTTGCCCAGTTTTCAATCGCCTTGACTTTGGAAGGGTCCACGTGTATCCCTTCCTTGCTGACTACGTGCCCCAAGAAGTCAACTTTTCGAATCCATAATTCACATTTCAAGAACTTCGCGTATAGCTTTTCTGCCCTT